GGTATATCTCATGCCCAAGTTAGGGTGGCAGTTGGGCAGTGGATCTTGGAACAACACAGAAAGTACTGGGAGGAGACACCGCGACTCCATACCGCCAAGCTAAGCAGTTGGTGGACCTCCACAACCAGTACGTAAAAATGAACTGCTCGGTCTCAGCAGGCAAAAAATAAGGAGGATAGTGGCCTTTTTAACAGGACCGCCCCCTGCAAAAAACATCTCTTCAGGATGGGACTGAGCGATCAACCGACCTGCAGGGGTTGCAAATTAGAGGACGAAACTACTTTGTATGTTATGTGTCACTGCAAGTCATATGCAGCAGGTAGACGAAGACTGGGAAGGGATGAAGCTCTACCAGACCAGGTCATGCGTACCCCCTCAAGACTCTTCTCTCTCGCGAATTTTGGGTTTATAGACATTTTTAAGTGTGCACTTGCAATGACTATTTTGCCAAATTTGCCTAGTCGGCATTTTGTGACCACGTAGCATCCTTCCCATTAAACCCATGCAGTATATGCTACCGATTCTACTAAAAGTGTGAGTTTTTCCTTCAAAAACTGCAGATTTTTTGTGTCAGATGTTACGTGAACGGGATCCCCAAAACTGCTGCATCAGAGCAACCTGTGCCTCGCAGTTACTCTGCCTTATATAAAAATGACCTGAAAGAAACACAACTGTACAATACATTCTACCCACTAGACCATCAGGAATTACACAAGAAGTTCCCCCCTTCTTTTGCGGTGACCGCTGGTTCTTGTACGCGACCATTGCTTTGCCTTCAGTTTGCCTGAGTGCCGGTCGTACCGTTTCACTTACACTCAGTGTAAATAATCGATGTGAAAGTAAAAACTACGAACAATTTTCCGAATTACAGTTTGCCAGTGTTTAGTGTTGAATAATGTGCAACAATTGTGAAAATGGCTCTTAGGATACTAGCAGTTCTAGTGGCTGTTCTGAGCAGTTCAGGACAAGGTACGACGTCGAAAGCTGCAGAAGGTCGAAATTTGCATTTTAGTGGATCAGAAGTTTGAATAGTTGATTCAACACATGTGGTAAAGGTCGTGGGATGACACAATTCATTTAGCTAGTGTTTGCCTTCAAGATTTCCATGCGTAATATTCAATATGTGATGCAAGACACGGTCCTGAATGGGTACGGATTTTGCAACTGCCTAGCACTTCTCCGCTTGCAAAAAGAAATTCTGAAACTTTCAGTATTTCAGCTGAAGAACGACTTAAAGTGTTTAATTTTTTACACCTACGAAGTAGCGAATTTTGCTTAAACCATCCATCAACTGGAGATATCTTCTTTTTAAACCACTACGGCTTGTTTACGACAAGGACTTGAAAAAGTCAATGAGTTTCTTCTATATTCAATAGAAATTTTTTAAAAATTCTTCAACAACCCTTCTTCATCAATCCAGTTCAATTCATTTCTGGAAAAGCAAATCTAGACCAATATCTTTATAGATATTGGTCTCTATTCAAAATTCAACATTTATATGTTGAATTTTGAATATTTCAGCCGAAGAAAGATCTATAGCCAATAATTTTTAAACAGGTACAAATGTTAATAGTGAAGTAGAAATTTGTTTAAAGTGTCCATCAACTGAAGATATTTTCTGTTTGCTTTTAGAGACGTCTCTCTTATACCAGAACAAAAACTTAATTAAATATTTGAATGAGTGTCTTCTATCTTTAAAGGAAACCACTTAAACATAATCGATCAGCAGCGTGCGCTTCCATAATTTAACTTCTTCAATAACTCTTCTTTACCTTTTATTCATTGTTTGGGTTTCCAATATCTAGTCTTCATTTTTAAAACTCTTCAACTTTTTCTTTTGGAATACTTCATGATTCTTTGATGTTCAATAGGATGCGTATGAAGAACAGCCAGATGCGCATTTTCTTCATTTTCTCTTATTTTACTGATGTTTGCATAATATTGGAAGGATTTAGTTTGTTTTCCATTGTTTCCCTTTTCATTAGCTTGCAAGATTCTACAAGGTGTTTTTAAATCAGTCTATTGTTTAATGGTCAAAAGTACTAAAGTAAAAGTGATAGCAATGAAAAAGTGGAATGAGAAAAAGTTGCTAATTTGAGTGATTCATTTAACACGCAAACCTTGAGAAATTGGAACATTTAATTTCCTCGAATGACCTCAGAAATATCACGCTTTATGTTTGTAATATGCGTCATAAAACACCCTGTGCAACGTGTGGTATTTTTGAAGATTCTTTTCAATGACTGGCAATATCTTCAATAAAATCGCTTTGAAGATGGTTCACATCGAACTTGATGGATTTTGTCGTTATATTCATATCCTTAAGGAATATTCAAATTGTTTGGCTTATGTGTATGTGGATATTGCAATTGGAGTTTTTTCTTCACATACTTTTATCTTTAATTTCATTGCTTCTCACTGATGGTCAACGGTTTCTTATGTAGATGATCTTGATGAAGATCAACCTAAAAAAAGTAATGTAAATGAAGCTATTCATTTGTTAGGGCTACTTTTATTTAGGGTTCTTTAGGGGGAAATATCATTAAAATCACAGTAAATCCTGATTTTTTGGGCCTTCGTGAAATTTGATCTGAACATGGACGGTTTTACGCTTCTGAAGTTATTCAGATAAAGAAATTGTAACTTCTTAATTAAATCCAGTAGGAACTTAAAATCTCGAAATTCGATTGAAAACATTTGTGGTTTAAACACTCTCAAAATTGAATTAAAATCACACTAAATCCTGATTTTTGGGACCTTCGTTAATTTTGATCTGAACATGGGCGGTTTTACAAACTGAAGTCTTTCGGAAAAAAAATTCTAATTTCTTAACTAAATCCAGTAAGAGCTCAAAATTTCTAAATTCGATAGAAGATAGAAAACACTTGAGTCTAAACACTTTCTAAATTGAATAAAAATCACACTTAATCTTGATTTTTGCGACATTCCTGAACTTTGGACTGAACATGGACGATGTTACGCTACTGCAGTCTTTCAGATAAAAAATTGTAACTTCTTAACTAAACCCAATCAGAACTTAAAATCTTTAAATTCGATTGAAAACGCTTGAGCTTAAACACTCTGAAATGTACATTAAAGTCACACGAAATTCTGATTTTTGAGACCTTTGTTAATTTTGATATAAACATGGACGGTTTTACGACCTAAAATCTTTCAGAAACAAAATTCTAATTTCTTAACTAAATCCAGTAAGAACTCAAAATCTCTAAATTCAATAGAAAATACTTGAGTCTAAACACTCACAAAATTGAATTAAAAACGCACTAAATGCTGATTTTTGCGACCTTCGTGAACTTTGGTCTGAACAAGGACGGTTTTTTTAAAACGATTTTCTAAGTCTTCTTCAAAGCCTTCAAATAAGATAAAAAAAAACATTTTAAGGGGTGCGTCAATAACGTTCACTTTTGAGGCGATTTTTCTAATTTCAACAGTTTTGAAGATTTTCTCCATGAGACATCAAAAGTTCCATGAACAAGAGAACGAATCTTCAGCTACATCAGTTGGACAACGCTACTATGCATAATTTTCTAAGCTTTAAAATCGATCAAATGAATGAAGATTATTAGCCAATTTTGAAGTAAAATGTCTTCAATTAGACCAACTTGTAATATTCTAGTTATTTCTGGTGAAAGTTAATATTGCTGTCCATTTTCTTTTTTCTTCAGCCGCTTAATATCAAATTAGGTTTTAATATACTATAAAATTTCTATGAAAAACAAAAAAAGAAACAAATTTTCGTTCAGTTTAGAAAATCAGAATCCTAAAATTGATGAGAAAACCTAGTCGACTTTAGAACTAAAAGCTTCCTCAAACTGTGACGCAAGAAAAAAATGCAATTCAAAGATCAACAGAAAGCAGGAATGGAAGCAAAGGAAATTAGGCATCACGTAAATGGAAGACAGGAACACAAAAAAACCACAGTTTATAAGCAGCTTTATTAGGCATTTTAGGAAAAGCGTAGAGAAGCTTAACAAAATTTAAAGTCAGCAAAAGAAATGTTCTAGATAGAAAGGTGCCTTTAACCTACTAGAAAAGAGCGGCGGAAGGAGAATAAAACACGCGACAATCTTAAGGAATGATAATGGAAAAGCAATTATGGAGGCAATTAAAGCACAAAGTGCAATGACAAAATATTGCTTATTTCCACTCACATTAGAAAATAAATCACTGAGGAAAAGGTTAGTATGAAGACGCCAGAACTCTTGGCTGATTATCTACAGAAATATTCTAAGCTGCACTTTGTAAGGCAAAAAATTCCAACTTTTGAAGTGAGAAGCAATAAGGGGAAGAATGTGACCAACTAGAAGATTTTTTAAAAGTGTCTAAGGTTGTTTGCTTTCCTTTTGAAGGTTTTTCCACGTTCTTCGGTACACTCATAATATTTATTTTGAAGAATATATTCAAAATATTCAAGCAAAAGACAGCTTTATTGATGAAAGACTTGAGTATGTTGGTTTCACTTCACTTTTACTTTTGAACATTGAAAGAAAGGGTACTCAAGAAGATTAACTTGGTGATGGATAGACTTGAGATATTCACCTATTTTCACTGTTACTCTTAATGCTGAAACCTTCAGAGGTTTTCTAGATGAAGTTCTGTGTTGTTTCCTAGAACTTCTAGACTGTTGTCAAATTTAAAGAATGTCTTTTCAAGGAAAAACTGTATTATGGACGGTTTAATTTCTGTTTTTCTTTTATCGTTTGCTGACGGTGTTAAAAAAGTCGAAGCAGATCAGATCTTAAAAAAGACTAACTGGCGGATGGTCATGATGAGCACATTTGATATGCTTCCTTCATTTGCACCTCTTCTTCTTGTCTTGAAGATTTCAGCCAAGGTCTTGAAATATTCCCTAGATGAAAACTGTGCTGTATTTTAGAAGATCAAAACCTTTTCCAATACGAAAAATATTTTAATGGATGAAAGCCTTGAGGAATCAATTCTGTTTTCACAGTTAAGAAGGTTGACTTCTGGTTGATTATCGTGGGCAGATCCGAGTTGCCTGCTTCCTTCTCTTTGTCTGTTTTTTGAAGTGTTTAGTGAACATTTTCAAATTTGAAGCTCTTCAGTAGGAAAAGCCAGTCCGTAGAAGAGCAATACTTTTGCCTAGACGTCGATGCTTCTCGCATGTTTCCTTTCAATTGGAATACAGTTTCACATTAAACTTTTCAGGAAAGAAGCATCTATATCTCATTAGATTCAGAAGTTAAAATTGGTTTCGGATTTTAGCAAAGCACAGACAGAAAATCAGACAAAGCATCTACTTGGAGTTGAATACTTTAAAAAGTAAAATAGAGAGACAACAATGACAAAGAACTGACAAAATGATGACAACAAAACCAACCCATCAGAATGCAGCAGACCAAACAAGTGATCAAGAAAAGCTATATAATTGTAGGAAGTTTTATAGCTGCGAATTTTCGACCAGATTTAAAAATATCTGTTGTAGGAGATAGAACCAGCTGCTTCATGTTAATTGTAAACCGCAAATGGCTGGTATTTCAGAGGTCAAAATCCACCACTAAAGGCGAATAAAACTCAAGTGCAAAACTCGCCCAACCAGTTGGATTCCACCCAAAACTCCCGTCCTCACCTTTCAGCTTAATAATGTTCTTGATATGCAGCTTTTAAGCCGCATTCTGGGTGTGTCTTTTCAGAAGAAAAAAATCTAAATCACCTTGACTACTTCTTTCTTTTATTGTGGCGATACGTAGGTTCCTGCTGCCCATACCGGTACTACGAAAAGAACCCAGCAGCAGGAGGAAGCAAGGTCGAGTCTTTTATTGGTACAATCAAATGCAAATATTTCTTTGCGGATCTGAACCTAACACTTTTACCCCTTGGGACTTTTTTGAGCACTTTTCACACACAATTTCGGATAATTGTTGCATGATTACGAAGATAAGCATAATAATAGAATGTTTCTTTCGCATTGCGTCGCTAACCTTGGCATAACTAGCCAAAGGTTGGAAACCAGATACTTTCACTTTTACAAGAACGCTCTTATATCGTGTATAAAACCGCTTTGGCTTTGAATTTATTTAACATTATTTTACGGCAACTGCATCGATGGCAATTACGTGTTTTCAACGATTTTATGGCAGTTTTTGTTATGTTACGTGTTCTGGTACAGAAAACCGTTAAACGAAATCCAGGTTGTTCACTGGCTTTGTTAGCAGTCGAGGACCTTTGGTTGATTTGGCCACAAAGAATATCCAAGTAGTCAATTCAATGAAAATATCTGATGAAAAGGAAAATATGGTTGAAGAAGTTGCAAAAGTACTAATGGTTTCTTAACTTTTTTAACTCCCAACTAGGCCTGTTTAGTTGACTGTTCATTATTTAAGACTGATTTTCATGCAAGAACAGAAAGCGAGCGCAATTTGGATCAGCGCTAATTGGTATAAAATTAGAAACCAATTCAGATTATATGGATGAAAAGTGTCCATTTTAGCCATATGCCATGTAGAAACTAATAACTCTTATACCAGAGTGTGTGTTTCAATTTCACTGCGATGCACTTTTACTTATTTCACGGATTATTGAACGGTTGTCTACGAAAATTAGCTAATTGGCATTGATATCTGGGTCAAAGAATTTACCACTTTTCTTTTCATCATTTGACTTTTAGCTGGCTTCTGGGCAAGCCTCTCTAATTGTGTTTATTTTCTTAAGCGCAAGGAACAAAACAATCGATTTAAGGCGGTTTTGAATAGTTTCCATTGGTTTCCTGAAGGACCAACGGTTAATACAAAGCGCTTTCAGTTTCGTGATCAGGTCTTTATGAATCGTCACGGAAAAGGCCTTTTAAGAGATGTTTTTACGCTGAATGTACTTTTCAACTTTTTAATATTCTTATTATTTTAACTTTCATGCTTCTCTTCCATTAAATATTCGTTATTGAATTTACCCGTGAGTGGCACAGGAATGTTGCTAAGTACATTCAGCTTTGCTTGATGTTATAGGGCAAGTTATTTTAAACGTATTCTTATAGAAAAAAAGTGATATAAAACAATGAAAAATTTCCGAAAAAGCGTCTATTAAGTATAAGTTTGCCTGTTCTGTTTTCACTTTATCAGCAAAGGTACGTTGAAGAATGTAATAGAAATCAGCAGCAGCCATACAAACAGAAAGAGGGAATGTAAATAAATTTTAATAAATTATATTTCTTGGTTATCTTGTTGTTGGAAGCTTAATAGGGTTGTGCCTGCAAATTTACTATTAGCTCTAAATGAATTAAAACGTCAATTAATTCTAATATTGAAGTAAAAACGACAACAGTTTAAAACAGCCAAACCTTTAAAAGTGTTTATTTAGGAGAGTTTGATATTCTTGAATAAAAACGCAATCTTTTTCCGGTATTTTTACCCCATTTCACCATTTGATAAATATGAAAATTTGCATAATCTGTCAAGATAATGGATTCAATCGGATTGGGTTGGACGCTTAATAGCCACGATTATCACGAGCAAATCCAACGTATATTTTTCAATATTTATTAATACTTAAATTGATTAAATATTTAAATGTTAGATTAAATTCCCTGGGAAAAGGTTCGGATTAATTACAATTCCGCATTCTGCTATTAATCTTGTTATGTAAAGATTAATAAATAATGCAAAGTGTATAAAAATGTAACAAAGAAAAGTGTACAATAATAAATTTGAAAAACTCCGCAGCAACTGCACGAAAAACAACAGATGCGCTAAAAAATACACAATTTTAAAAGCATCATATTGACTAAATGTAGTAATCTGAACAAAAGCATACAAAGCTTTAAAAACCTGTGAAGACATTTTCATTTTGAGGAAGATACATATTTTGAACAGCAAAATATTCACCAAAAGTGACCGATGAAAATACAAAGTTTTGATAGAAAAAACGAACAACACACTAAAAATGGCATTTAAAATTTCGAAAAAGACGGCACAACTTTTTTTAGCAAGCTATGGGCTGAAAGCGGCAAATGAAATATAGAAATCTGAACAAAAAATGAGCAAAGTTTCAAAAATCCATTAACACCTTTTGAATAAGAAGACGCATTTTGAAAGTGAAATATTGACTGAAAGATACTAATTAAATTATTACTAAAAACAGCACTAATTGATTTTACTTAGCAAAATGCAGGCATCTGAGCAAAAAACAAGCAAAGCTCTAAAACTGTCTGAATAACTATTGACATAAAACATTTTACAACAAAAGGTAGGAAAGAAATAAATAGTAAAAACAAAGCATTAACTGAAATTTAGTCATCGAAATAGAAAAAAATTCGCAGAAAAATGAGCAATGCTCTAATATTAACTTTTCATTATTTTCATAAAAAATCCACAACTCTTAAAGAAAAGTATTAACGAAAATTTACTAATGAAAATGTAGAAATCTGAACGAAAAACAGACAAAGCTATAAAAATATTTGCATACAATTTGGTTTAGACTACAAGTCTTCAATCTTCCAGAAAAAGCTTTACAGATCAATTTCATCAAGTATTATTAATTTTTTTTCGTTTTTATTAGAAACTATAACTGCTTTTTATTTGGCAATAGCCTTGGTTTTTATCAGATAATTCCTGTAAAGTTTTGCTATTTTCTTAAACATGTTACATGCAAAAATTAAACTTGTGGAAAATAATGAAAAGTAGTTAAGACAACTGCAAATAAACAGCATTTTACAAAAATTGCATCCGCAAATACATTTTAATTGAATTTGTTCGATCTTATTTGTGGAACAAATGAATGTCGCTGATTATTAAGAGCATTCAGAAGCCCTGACTAAAAAAACAATTTCTTGCATGAGATATTGAAAAAGAGTTCAATATTCTTCAAAAAAATTACTTAACTAATAATAGCTTCAAAAAGTCGATTTAGTTTGCCAAATGTGTTATAATTGCCGTTTAAATTGTCGTACTAAGAGCATGTCTATGCAATTGAAGTTTGCATTTTGGGTCCCAATTTTTTAGCTTGTTTATTATTAAAATGTGCCAAATTCATATAAATAATGACTATTTATGCACTAATTACGAAAGAATAAAAATAATGCAAAAGTACAAAAAACGATATTTCAAATGATTAAAATATTATAAATTTAAAACGACAAATGCGCTGTTTAAACTTCATTTGCCAATTTGATAAACAACAGTTTACATAATATTCTAGGTAATGGATTCAATCGAAACGAGTTTAGAGCTTGAACAGATCAGAACAAGATCAAGATTATCCCGAGCGAAACCAACACGTTTTTTACATATTTATGTCTAATTAAGCATATAAAATATTGAAATTTTAGATGCAAATCTCAGGAAATCAACGGTTTATATTAGTTAAATTTTGGAATTTGATTACTAATCGGATCACAAAAGAAAAAACAAACAAATGTATATTTCTGGATAAAATGTTAAAGAAAAGCTACAAATTAAGCAACAGTGAATTCAGAAAACTAAAACCCATAAAACGCGGTTTTGGTAGTTTATTTCTAGCCAAAGGAACGCCAGACAAATTTTTAAAATGACGAATGACTTGTCCAAATACTTCAAATAATTTAATGATTTAGTGCCAGAATAAGAGCATGACAATGTATTAAAAGATCGCAGTGTGGTCCGCAACTGGCCCAGATTATTTCTGCCTAAAGTGCGTCAATCAACTAAATGAACCATTTTTGCCACGTTAAGAGCATGACTAAGTGACCCAATTTTGCAACCTTTTTTCTTCGTTTAGTTAGTTGCAAAATATTTTGTATTCTTTTGACAGTTTTCTCACAAAACTATTAGTAATTAGTAAAATGTTTGCGAAGATGACAAAAGAAATAAACGGTTTTACGGCATAAAACCATAAAAATAAGAAAATTCGTAGAGTCATCAAGAGCACATCAATGTATTTAGAAAATCAAAAAAACTGCAATCAATGCCGTTGCAATGCAATAATTTATGTATTAGCAGACTGAAGCGCAACCCTGTTAAGTCGACTAATTACTACTGCACCTAAAATTCATAATTGAGTTAAAGGATATTTTAAAGTGCCGTTACATTTGCCAAATGAAGAGCAGGTCGACATACATTTTGTCTATGGTTTAGTGTAGACCGGCCTCCGATATCACCTGATTTCAATCCACTCGATTAGTATTTTTAATTCTGCTCCTTTTATGCATGTTGCGCACTTTCTGCTTTACAACCTGCAGGTTCCGGAACCGATTTTACACATAATATAGTTAATTGACGCAGACATATGAGTGTTAATTGAATAGTTTTTACTTTTAAGTTTACGCCAGATTGCCTGATAGCGGCAAAAATATGGAAATTAATATGCAATAATGCGTTGCACACACACACTGTTGCAATTAAGTCGTTTGCACAAGAATATTTGAATCGATCGGTTCTTCCTAACAAAGAAAGTAGAGCACACCAACCTCATTGCCTACGTAGGTGCTAACAGCCTAAGCAAAGCAAACACATTTTTACTAATGAATGATCAATGCTTTCCACTTGTTTCAGCCCAGAGGTACTTCATCGGAGAAGAGGCTCCGGAAGATTACTACAATAGCCAGCAAGTGCTTACCAATCCTCAACAACAATACTATCAAAATCCCTCTTCGACTTACTATCTACCAAAGCAACTCCCTGCCCACCCGCAGCAGCCTCAATACAATCAGCAGCCGTCTGCAAGGCAATTTCCCTTCAGACTCGCTCAGGATGAGTATGTGGCACCTTCGACTCATCGGCCGGATTATTCGCGAGTTCTCCCCAATCATCGCCTCCAACAGGATCAGCACGCCCACTATCCCTCAGAACTGACTGGAAATGCCTTTGAACCTGAGCCTGCTTCGAAAGAGGCTAGAAGGTTGGACTTTAACAAGGAAGAGAATGGGGAAGATGAATATCTGGAAGAATCTGACTACGGGGCATCTGAACTGAATGACAAAAGAGCAGCCAGTGAGTCTGCGGCTGCAAAGGAAGATAAGGCGGAAGCGCCCAATGAATTGGATGATGAGGAGTATGATGAGGATGACGAGGAGTATGAGTATGAAGATGAGGATGAAGGGGTAAGTGGCGTGAGAATGTTCTGGCATATTCTGGATTATGTAATCAATCAAATGTCTTCGATTTACCAGGAAAACAACAATCTGAACAACGAAACGAAAACCACCAACGAAGCCTACGAGGTTCTAACGGTCAAACCCACTAAACCAATGCAAAACGGCCTTCTGGATGGTTTTGTGGATGTGGATCTGATGGATACAACCACTCAAGAGCCGGCCACTTCAAATTTCCAGTCTTCAGTCCTGCCCCCCAAAGAAGATTCGAATGAAACCAGAAACTTCCCCGAGCTGGTTGTGTCAGTGGTGACCAGCAAGACGATCGTGAACAACACAGTCATTTCCCCCATCGCTTATAATGCGTCTACAGTGCCAAGTGCTGAAATGGGAGTGTCCGTGGAAAACAGTACTGATTCCTGGATAGTCATTGCTTCAGTGGGTGTGGAAGATGGAAGGGATTCTTCAAATTTAACGGATTCAATGCATTTCCAGGTGCAAACTAGTAGAAGCATTTCAGGGGCACGATACATTCCTTCCACGTCTGTAGACCAAGACGAAAGAAGGCAACTGTTGAATGAGGGAACTTTGTCTGAAACTGAAGCCACCATTCTCGAAACGGAGCTGACTTCTCCTATGTCCAGTCCAAGACCCAAGACCTCCACTGAGAGCCTCATTGATAAGCTAGATCGAGTTCAGTCCGACCTTTCCAGCCGGGTTTTAACTGGTAAGAGCCTCATTTTTCTCAAGGAGGATTTGGCCAAATTTATGTTTTCTAGGCGGGTTTAAGAACGATAACATTGCGATCATCGATGAAAATTTGACCACCAAAGTGGAAGCTTCCACGGAAGCCACTGTTAAGAAACCATATCCGCAAGTTAATATTAGGAAATTTGATGCTGGCAATAGAGCCGTGAGGCCCACTGCCAAGAAGAGCGAGCCCAAACGGAAACCAGTTGCACCTAAACCGCTTCCAACTGATCAATCGCCTACCACTCAAGGTAAACCTGGAAATACCTAAATTCTATTGGCAGCCTCAATACCATTATTGATGAATTATGATTTTCAGACCCTCTTAGTCTTATTTTGCAAAAAATTAAGCCAGTCGAAGACATAAGCGCTCTTCTGCCTCCAGGTTACAGAATTCCTAGTTCAGAAGGTAGGATTTTGAAGAAATCTCCTTTGCCTCCTATTGATCCCCTTCAACCTCTTCCAGTCTGTCTTCTAACTGCCCTTTAAAGCTAACCCGCATCAGACGTTTTGCTTGCATCTGCATAAACCATTCTCAAAGCTGCAGATTAAGTGCGACAAGTTCAGAAGTCTGTAGGTGAATTAAAGTGCCCTTGACAATAATTACTTCAAGTGCAGCCGAAACGTCTGTGAGAAATTCGAACAGAGCACGCCACATCCTTGTTGGACTGGCAAACTCCATATCTTCAAACTATTAAATAAGGAAAACGCAATCAAACCAAACTTTGATCCAGATGTTCCATTTTAGAACTCCTGAAATCCAGCCAGCCAGTGAACGACATCACGAATCTTTTGCCTCCTGGCTACACGCCACCTCAACCAGCCACGTCAACGATAAAATCCATCCTGGATGTGCTGCCCAATGAAGAATCTGTTGAAGATATCAGCGCACTTTTGCCCCCAGGATTTAAACTTCCTGCAACAACTGAAAAACCTTTGGATAGTCTTGCGACCAGCCTGCTATCCAAAGCCAAACCCGTGGAAGACATCAGCTTCCTGTTACCTCCAGGTTTCAAGCAGGGCCAACCTGGAAACGATCTTCTATCGAAAGCAAAGCCAGTGCAAAGCATTAGTGCTCTGTTGCCTCCAGGTTACAAGGCGCCTTCTTCCAAGTCCAAGTTGGAGGATAATGTTCCAGCTGCATTGTTGCCTCCAGGGTATAAGCCGGGAGGAACCACAGAAAAGCCTGCAATGAAAGTGTTTTCCAAAGCCAAACCTGTGGACGATATCAGCGCTCTTTTACCGCCTGGCTACAAGGCCGGTGCAACTCCGCCTGCTGAGAAATCAGTTTCCAGTATTCTGGCTAAAGCGCAACCGGTTGAAGACATCAGTGCCCTGTTGCCTCCAGGCTTCAAGAAGGGATTCAGCAGACCAAAAGGTAACAGAATTGGTTAAATCCCCTGGAAACTTTCTAACTTTAACATTGCAGTAACCACTACACCACCATCAGTCAATCTGGAAACCGTTAGCCAAAACATTCCCAACAATCTGCTGCCTCCAGGCTTTAAACCAGGCCCATCTTCAAGCGAGCCTTTGGCAACCTCGACTGATTCTTCAGTTAGTCCAAGGTTTGGATCAGCTGGTGGAGAATGACTCACGCGCTTACTGATTGGCTGCCTGTTTCAGTGCGCCGCTCAGTTCAGGATCTGGTGGTTTGAAGATTGTCTTTCCCAGCCGTCCAGGTGGAGGAGCCAGAAAAACGCCCCGACTGACCACGCCTAGAGGGCAAGCTGAAGATGGTGCGATCAAACCGACGTCCCCTAGTATCAGGAAGGCGTGGCCTGTTAGGTAAGAGGTCTATTTTTTTCTGGACTTGAGGTGTCTTTGTGCTTGACTTCTAATTCATTAACATAACACGCCAAGTCAGCACTCTTTAATTTAATAATCCTCTGGGTGTTCGTTTGTGTAGTCTTGTAGCAAAGACAGTCTTTCGTCTACCACGTAAGGAAACTGTCTTCCACAGTCTCCCATCTGCCATATAGGATGGCGTGTGATTGAAGACAAACAACATCACATTGGTTTTTTACTTTTAGGTCTAGTACTGAATTTACTGGATGGCCGACGCCTTCAACCACACCGATTTCGATTGAAAAGCTTCTGGAAGCGGCTCGGACAGCTTTTAAAAGTACTTCAACAGAGGAGCCTGTGGAAACGACATCCACAACCACAACCACCACCACTACGACCACCACACCTCGACCAACTACTCCTGGTGAGTTTGGAATATTTCAGCAAACTCTCTGGTGTTTCTTGAAGTTTTCACTTGTGAATTGAGAAATGTTTTATCTTAAATAAGAGAAAGTAGTTGAGGGAAAATATTTTGATAATGATGGGGAAACGACGGATGATCGAAAACCGATCTGAGCAAGATATAATGGAATAGAGAGAATTTCATGCAAAAAAAATCATGGATAGAATCTGGAAATCCGAAAAAATAAATAAATGGAGAATCTGTATGAAAGCATTCGCGCAGAGTATGGGCCAAATACAACAGAAGCACAGAGACCATCAAGAGTTGAAGTGGAAAAGTTATGCACACTACAAAAATAGAAACGGGATAAAAATCAACTGTACAGCAATTGAAGCCTTGCAGCTTTAAAGAAACATGCTGCATAGAGTGGTTATGATGTCCATGAGGAAATGATCATTTGCAGGTGCAACTCCATACATTGTAGTCAAATTTCTGATTTAGTTTTTTGCGAATATCTCTGCTTTTAGTGGCAATATTTTTTAAACTCATTTTGGCGAGTTCCCATTAACTGCAGATTTTACCAAACATTTTAGAGTTAATGAAATAAAGTGAAACTTTGTACACTTATGAAAAAATGCCTCTTTTACAATGACTTAAACGTTAAAAATTTTGTTGCTTCTAGTTTAGGAGTTGTGATTTTTTTAGTACGGAGATGCTCGTGTGTGTCATGTTTCTCATTAGCTAAATGTTGAAAATCCTCTAAAAAATGAATTTTTTCAGGACCAACATGTCCTTTTGTTGGAAACTGATCACCAACTGAGAGTTCCAGATTTCCTAAAAAACCGACGAGTTGATGAAATTAAGTGAAATTTTGTACATGCCTCACAAGAAGCTGATTCTCAAAGTAACCAAAAGTTCAGAGTTCCATCGCATCCCGTTGAGGAGTTGTGATTTTTTAAAGTACGGACATTCACTAGTTGCCCATATTTCACACTAGCTGAAAGTTGGAGATTTTTTAAAAAGCTAAAAAGTTAATTGAATCAAGTGAAATCTTGTAGAACAATGCTTCCTCTATAAGTGTTCAAAAGGTCGAAACCCAATCACCTTTAGTTTCCGAGTTATGATTTTTTAAGTACGGGCCTGCACTGACGAATTGATAGTTGCGGATTTTCCAGAAAATTAAGAATTACTGAAATACAGTGAAAGTTAGTTCAGTTTTGAACAAAGTGTCATTCTATCAGTTTGCAAAAGTTCGAAATTCCACCGTTTCCAGTTTAACAATGATAATTTTTTAACTATGGGCATGCACTTGGGAGCAATATTTCTAATTAACTGAAAGTTGCAGATTTTGGAAAAAAATCAAAGAAGTGAATGAAGACAAAAGTTCAAAATTCTACCGCTTTTCGTTTGGGAGCAGAGATTTTTTAAGTCCAGGCCTGCACTTTGGGCCATTTTCCTCTCGAACTAAAAGTTGAAGATTTTTAAAAAAATTACAGAATCACCAGAAAAAAGCGAAAAATTGTGAACTTCTCAGCCAAAAATTTTTCAATTCCTGCGCAAAATAGCAATATTCTATCGCAACCAGTTTAAGAGTTCGGACGTGCTCTGATTTACTGAAACTGGTAGAATTGTCAAAAATGAACGAATGAACGGAATCAAGTCAAATTTTGGAATCTTATCCATGAAAGCATTTTCTATAAGTTGTCAAAAATGCAAAATTCCATCAGATTTTTAAAGTTTGTGAATGTACCTACTTTTCGGCCATATCTTGCATTAGCTGCAGAAAGTTGGAGACTTTCAAAAAATCCATAAAACAAGTCATATCGATTGAAATTGTGTACACTTATTAACAAAAACGCCTCCTATCTATTTTCGTTCAGGAAGTTTTCAAAACTGCCATCCCGGTTTAGGAATTGTGATTTCTTAGTGACGGACATGCACTGTTGGACAAAATTTCTTATGGTAGAAAGCTGCAAATTTTGCAAAAAACTAAGGTGCTAATAGAATCAAGTGAAATTTTGTCCTCTTATGAACCAATGTTCGTTCTATAAGCTTGCAAAAGTTCAACACTCAATCCCCTCTAGTTTACCAGGTATGATTTTTTACATACTGATCTGCACTTTTTGGCCAAATTTCTCATTAAATGAAAGCTGAAGATTTTCGAAAAAATCAAAAAGTAATTAGAATCTACTGAAATTTTGGAGACTTATCAGCCAATGTGTCTTTTAATCGTACCCGGAAGTCTAAATTTCCATCGCCTGTAGTTTAATAGTTGTGATTTTTTAAGTACGGACATGCACTTTTTGGTCATATTTTATATGCGAAGTCTATCATCAGGACTCACAAATTCCGTATTTTTTTGCAGTGAATAATTACGCAAAAAAACGTTTTTTATGTTTTTAACTTAATTTGAAGAGTAAAAACTCACAGACAAAAAGCGATTTTTTTTGCTAGCAATGCATTCCCCAACATGCACTTATTTTTCTTCCATAAACAGCCAATTTACCCCGAATAATATATTCTTAGATTTCTCATAGAAGTACCGAGTTTCCAAGAAAAATTCAACGACAGAGAGAATTCAATGCAATTCCTTTCAATGCCATCATATTCTTGGAAAACCACACAACAAAACAGCTTAAAACCCCATTTAATTATATTTTCCTAATACCACCTGTAGTTTACATAACATCTGATTAGAGCCGAAAAAAGGTCACAAATACCTAAATTTTGGGTAAAGCTAAACAGCAATGAAAAACTCACTTAAAATCTGTTAGACTAAGGAATTTTAAAACGGTTTAACGCAACGGAATCATTAATTAGAATGAGTTGACATTGATTTTCCATTGGAGCGCAATCAAAAATGCATTTTGTAAATCCATTAAGGCCTTAATCGTGGTCATTTCCTTATGGCGGCAAAGTCGGAAGCAATTTGAAAGCGGGATTTTAAATTGTTTAGTTTTCAATTTGCAAAAAAAAATGATTGAGAAGTGACGAAGCTATTTATAGTGTTAAACTGCTTTCAAGAAGTTACAAGTAGTTCAAATTAGATTTTAATTTAATATTTTAGTAGTAAACCGACGCGGATTTATTTTATTAATTAAGTACATGTATTAAATTTTTAATAAAGGTTTGATATGTTTGTTTTATAAGTTTGTAAAACTAGTTTACTGAAGTGGCAGTTTTTGATCAGTTTTTTCTGTAATTTTGTTCAATTTCATTGTAAAAACAAGTAATTTCTTTACTTGCAAAAATACGATTTAAAAATGGTTCTCTTTGCAGGAATTTGCGTCGATGATTGCGACTTGGCTGGCACCATTAAACTAGTGGGAGGAGCCAAATGGGTGCCTGAACTGCTTGACCCCAACACCAAAGAATATCAACTTTTGGCCAATAGCGTGCAAAGCGAGGCGAGTTGATGCTGCATTTTCGCTCGCCATTCATTCTTAACCATTTTGCTGTTTACAGCTCGAGAACATCTACAACAGTTCCCCGATGCTGAAGAAGTGGTACCGTAAGATCCGCATTGATAGCTTTAGGTACGAGTTGATTTATTTGGCTTTGGGTGAAGATTTCCCCAGCTCCAAAGGATTTTACTCAAGAATCTTAGATTTACGATCAATTTCTGTTCCTTACAGCGAAGGAAGTGTCCTAGTGGACTTCCTGGTAGAATTCAACGAAATAGGACAAAAAGTGGACACTCAGCAGATTAAAAGGCTGTTCCATGAGTCTTTGACTGAAACTCCCCAAGAGCCCTCCAATAGAGAAGGCAAGGCCTTGAACGAGAGCAAAGCTGAACGACTTTCTCTGGGAAAATTTGAGGTTGACCCCAAATACACAGACTTCGTCGGTAAGTAATAGTAAGCAACCTTTTCCATCCCGGATACCCACAATGAGTGTTGTAGTGATTCCGAAAAACGCTTACCCTACGGTGGGCTACGCTGATGAAGTTCTTCTACCTCAATGGGCCATTGCGGTCATAGTCATTGGACTGGCTTCTTTGCTCTTCGTGATCATTTTCGGTGCCACTGTGGTAAGTTAGAGAAAACCTTCTTGGACAGAACATTGAAACATTGATAAAAATTCCAGCTGTTTAACCGCCACAAGAACTCGAAGAAATCGCCAGCACCTCTAACCGAAGACATGCTGAACGAGCTCAACAAGAATCACATGGGGGGCATAGAAACCTATGAAACTGAAGACTTTTACAACATGGAGGACGTCTGGAGTGACAAGCACTATGAGCAAAAACCGCACAAGAAGGTACAAAGTGCCTTTTAATTGGGTCTTCATAGATTCTATCTGCTGGTTTTTCTTTCAGAGAACCGCTAACAGTAGTTTGTACGACAACAGCACGGCAAATCTGTACGACAGTTGGAGGTCGCAATGGAACGGACAATGGAACGCCTACAATACGTATTATGGAAACCAGCATGGAAGCCAGCACAGTTTACGACGACCAGATCACGACACCAACTTCTGATGCTGATTTAATGGAGAAAAAGTGAATAGTTTGTGTAAAAATGTATAAAGAGACTGAGTCTGTATTTAAATTAATTATTTTAATATACAGTAGGTAGAACCTTTGGCTTCCACTGTCCTAAGTGTGGAGAGTTTCTATTGTGAGAGTGAAGACTTTGTAGGAAATGCGGGAAAACGTCTGGCTAATCATAAAATCGTGAGCTTCCGACTTTGTACTGGAACCTGCTGGTTTTTTTTATCCGATCCACAGTGGCAGTGTGTTTCAGGGTCATCGTTTTATAGAATGTGTTGAAATAAAATGAGTTTTAACGTGAAAGTTTGAACAGAACAATTAATTCTACAATGAGGAAACCACTGGGGAGATAAATTAGATAGCAATAGCAAAAGACGAACTAGTCGAGGATCGAAAAACTTAATTTGTCGCCTTAAATCAAGGCAAAAGAGAAAACTGCCTATCAATTTTCCTGCCTAGAATCCTCAGGTTCCAGATGCCATGGATGCTAGCAGATGCAAGGGTTCCAATAATCATTAAAAAATAGGAAATGGAAGGCAAATATTCTCGATGCAACTGAAAAGAGCGTAAATCGATGAAGACAAGTTGTTGACGGACGGTTTAATGGAAGAAATGGAAGCAAGCAAGGGAGGTGGAATTAGTACAAAGAGTCCCAATAGCAATCACCAAAATCCAAAAATGTTGCTTTTAGAAATTTTCCGATATCTGCAAATCTCTATCTAAAAACGTTGAAAAAATTCCTGGCACGCCACTGGATAGAGGAGGCCAAAATACAGAAAAAACGTGATACTCACTTTTTCTCTAGAGGCTCTCATAAGCGAGCGGGGGAGCATTAAGCGAGCGAGCATAAGAGGGAATTCTTGGATTTCCGGCCGATTTTGTGCAAAAATTTTCGAAATTTTGTAAATTTTTGTTTGGTCGAATTTCGGTCAACCTTCCATTTGGCAGGCGTTGACCGCTCCACAACAATCGAAATCGGCACAAAATTAGCTGGAAAGTTTCGAAAACAAGCCATCTTCAGACTAAGCGCTAACATCACAACCGTCTTGAAAAAGCTTCAAAAGTTGCAGAAATTTTTTGAAAATATCAACTTCCACGCGATCGGATTACCGTGAAAATGTATGGGAGCGTTTCGAATCCATACCATCATCAGATTTTCCGACAAAGCCATTTAAAGCAGCCGCAATTCTTGAACTGTTGGCTTCAAAGGTTTCGCTAATTAATTTCAGGAACATCCTTAAAACCCATCATTTGCAGGTCGCGGCATTGAAAAATGGAAATATTTCTTGCTCAATTGTGAAAGTTTCAGATCGCCGACATCATCAGGTTTTAAAACAATAATTGTCCAAACCACATGACGTTTATCGGGCATTGTTGCTAAACAATTTTCTGCAATTAATTGCCGCAAAACCAACCCAGATAAAAACCGGCGGGTTTCGGTTTTAGCAGGCGCAATACCAATTAATGAATGTGGTAAGTTTCGATCCGGAACGATCATCAGAGTTTCGCTGCCTTTGGCCCGAACACGACGACTCTTTTCCAGTGGCTTGCAAGACAAGGTTGCCAGTTGAATTACGGGAAAACTTGAACAGTTGCAATCTTGCCCTTTGCGGCATTGAAAAGAGCATTCTTTGCTCCCTGGAGGCAAACAGTTTCGAACCGCCGCCATCATCAGGCATTTTTGGTGGCATTTGTCCAACCCTACTGGGTTTCAAGGCCAGATTTTCCAGTGGCCTTTTGACAATTAATTGCACGAAAACCGCAAAAGCCACAAACTTCCGGAGGACGGATTTGGAAAGAAGGTTTTGTGTTTCTCAAGATGGACGAACTGCCAAATTCACCACAAAATTGGAAAGTTTCGAAAAAACTTGCTAAATCCCCGCGACAGTTTGAAGACAGGCTTCATGCGAAGCTTCCCGAATCAGTTGTTTAAAAAACCTCGGAAATAGTCACGAAACCGACGTTGGCTGTTTCAAAAGGCAAAATCAGGGCGCCCTGTATAGAAGGAAAAAATTTCGGCTTGCCGCCATCATCAGGCTTTCGGCCTTTGATAGGACAGGCGATATTTCCACCAAAAATCATGGTCAACAGCCTGATGATTGACTGTTGGGCCGAAACCAGTTCACCAGCGGCCGGTTGCCACATTGCAAATGCTCCATATGGACTGTGAAAGTTTCGATCCGGCGCCATCCTCAGGTTTTGTGCAATTAAATGTCAACTGGCGCCACTCCAGTTGGGTGGGGCTCCTTAAAGGGCAATTAATTGCTGAAAAACCCAAAAAAACTAGGAATTTGTGTATATACAATATTGAAAATGGAATTTATTCTTATTTTAATTCTCGATGCAACTGAAAAGACCGTAAATCGATGAAGGCAAGTTGTTGACGGACGGTTTAATGGAAGAAATGGAAGTAAGCAAGGGAGGTGGGAATAGTACAAATAAGAGTCCCAACTAGCAATCACTAAGGCAAAGGAAATATCATTGACACAACTAGAAAAGGACCTCCCACATGATTTGGGGACACATAAAATTTAGCATGCAGTTCCAGACCACACTGTTGAGATTGGGAGAAATTGCGATAATTCCTACAACTCTACAAATTGACTAAAGTGACGCGATACTTGAGGAAAGTGAGTTGAAATATTACAGCTAAAGGTCAAAGAGCAAGATGAAACCTAAAATGCCCCTAACAAGCTGAATACGCGCGCATAAGGAGAAACGTTTGAATTTTGCCTGCGGCTGAAGCTGCACTTTCCATCCGGAGGATCCATTGGTGTTTTGAATCTTTGCCAATACCTGGATCTCAAATTGAAGGTTTCTCCCATCCGAAGCACGCAGCATTAGAAAGTATAAAACACATCGATAAATTAAGCCTTTGGCTTTCTCTGGTTCGATGCCGAAAAGAGGCCGGAGGGGCCTGCGCAGTAGCCAGGCCCGTGCAGACCGAAAGGAAAACAGTTTTCCAATCCGGAACGACCATCCGGAGTCCGGAATCGGTAGGTTAGCCCGAAAAGTCACGCGATTCCCGTTTATCCAGACATCCACTTAGTGCTTTTGGCTCCCGATTAGTGTTCTTTAAAGGTAAGGACTCGCACGTTAATCATCCATTTCGCTCTGGTCTTTTGGAAATTGTCAGCGCTCCCTGATCCAGGCAACTTGACCTCAAAATGCTCTATTTGAACCGTTGAAATAGGTTAATTGCAAATAGCAAATCAAGGACAACGCGTCATTTAATAACCCGCAACGACATTGTTTTCACGGGTTTCTTTGCATGCTTTTGCACCATTTGAACAGTTTCAGATTGCGATCAGAACAGGGATGGGTTTCGGGAATTTTGCCACAAAATACCATTGACAAGGTCGATTTGTAATTCCCATTTACAATCGCACTCCAATTATTGTCTTGAAGCAGTTGAGCCCATTTGGGTACCGGTTTCATTATCCCATCAGCTAATCCAGGAAAACGGTATTTCTAGGGACTGGAAAGGGTGAATTGTTTGGAAGATTAATAGTTTATTTGCCGAAAACTGGGTTCCCAGCGAATTTCACTTGAAGGGAATAAATCGACTGCCTGAATCAGTTGATTCATGGAAGCAGTCAAATTTATTTCAAAGTATTGCCAAGAGCGAGGCTAATTGATGGCATATAGGTATATGGATGTATTGGTTTATGCCGCATTAAATGCGGAAAGCAACTGAGTTTATTTTGCGTGTTTCGCATGATATTAAGCATGAAAATGTACAACTGGAATGGTCATTAATCAACGGCAAATTTAAAAACCACTAACTTGGCCGGATCGCTTCTTTCCTTGCTTGGAACTTAACAAAATTGTCCTCAGTTTTGAGAAATTTTCGAAAACATAATTGTAATTCCACCTTGATGTGATTTTCTTCAAATGTTTCCAAAGAAGTTTCGTTATTAAGAAAATGAATTAAGTTCGTAATAAAAGTCAGCGTCGTTCTGCGATAAAAGTTGTAAGTTGTGCGAAAATTCCAGGATTTTGTTGCAGAAAATAAGACCTGCTAAAATATGCTTTCACCTGCATGAAAATGTTTCAATATTTCCAAAGATTACTTATAGATAATGAGTAAGAAAAATGACCTTTCAGCTCTTTTGCAACACCAATCACAAGCGATCTTATTATCTCTAAAATATATTATTTTTCATTTTATTTGGAATTAAATTTCCTACCAATTTTCTATTTGATTTTTGTTTCTCGGATTAGTATGTAAAGAGTTACGAGATATTAAAGGTTTGATAAGAAACTTTGACTAACGAACAAAACTGACCCAAAAATTTCTTGTATACTGTTCTATGAAAATCAAAACAATTCTTCATAGAGGAATCGAAATTGCAATGTTTTGCGCATTTAAACTTAGGATTTAAACGCATTTTGTGATATTTTATTTTAAAATGTTCACCAGTATACAGTTAGTTACTCAATAAAAGCCGCAGTTGTTTTCTTACTAAAAAACTCTACTGTTAAGCCATTAGTATTTATCTCTTGAAATAACAAAAAACATTCATCAGTTGCTTTATCCAACAGCTGTAGAATTTCAATTAATTAATAATGAAACTGTTTTAATTTAATTTTAATGAAAACAATCCATTATATTTTTTAAAATTGTTCTAATATTTATGTCAAGAAGTAGCAGTTAAAAAACGTGTTTTTCAAATTTTGTTTTGACCAAAACTGAAAAAACAAAATTTAGCTGCAAAGGTACCAAGTTGGAACGATAGCAGACCATCTTGCATCTCGCACACATTTGCATGCGTGCGAGTGAAAGACCCGAACTTGCTACGAACGGTAATGAGCAAATCAGTTTTACCAAATGGAACAAACGTTTGTTACAGTCTGAAAGAAATGTGTTTATTTGTGTCCAAAGCATTGTTAGCATTATTTGCTTGTTCAGGGGGCTTAGGTTACAATAAGTCGTCGTACAGATCTTGCGAAATTGGTGAAATCTTCGATTTTATTGGATCTGAAAGATCCAAGATGTTTTTAAGTTTTTCAGTCCAAGAAAATGGCATTTTTGATCAATCGATTACGACCATGTGAAAATCAGCGTGATTATCACAGATAGGCAATTTGGAAAAATTGCCAAAAATTATGTGTTAGCAGGAAAAATTTCAAAATTTTGCACCTAATAGTCCGTTCTTCCTTTAATTTTATGCAATTCACAGAATACTGTAGCCTCTTTGTCAGTCGGACTCAACGAATTTATTAAAACCATGTTGTATCGTTGATCCATGTGGCAGAATTTTGAAAATTTTTCAAAAATAACCTGAAGGGGCAATAATATTGAAACTTTCACACCGTATATACTGACAATTTTTCCAGTTAGTGCAATAATGTGCAAGTTTGTAATTTTCTTCGTTTTTGCCTCATTAATTTGTAAAGGCATTATGTCTAAAGGGGTCGCACATTTTCATGTCAACAAGCTTCCCAATTCAAAAATCGTTTTTGTCTTGATTAAATCCATAAACAACCAAAATATGTTTTTAAATAAAAACAGTTAAACGAAGGTTTTCATAAAAAATACCACAGACATAATAAAAGGAAATAGTCACAAATGAAAAAAACATGTATAGTTTTGAATGTATCTCTGGGAAGAGGGGGTGATAATGAAGTGAAAAAAAAATCTGAATCTCCATCAGTCCTCAAAATCAGTGCCAAAGAAAATTTGAAATTAAAAGGTTTTTGAATATAAAAAATACAAAATACGCTTATCTATTGATGGAATATGTTATTTTCTGGATTCTTCTTAGGAAGCAAAGTCGGCCTTTTTAAATAAATCCCTTATTTTTTGCATAAATATTGCAGATTTTATGTGTCAATTCAATAGGACAATGAACGAAAACTACTGAAAGCAACTCCAGAAAACAATATGGGAATTCCAGATGGCCCATGAATAATGTGAGTAAAACGGTCTAATTGGGTAATTTTTACCAAATCAGGTTAAGGTCAAACTTCACTGAACAGGCCTTTGTAGGTGGAAACCAACGAAAATTGCCCAAAGCAAGTAGAAAGATTTCGAAAATAAGCCATTCTCAGGCTTAATCTTCACCTGAATAATTTGGCTGAAAAGTCACATTTTAAGTTTTTTCGCAAAAACGAAGCTTTCTAGCAAAAAATGTTTTGTTAAAATGTCGGGCAGGTCAAGAGCTACTCATAGTCATTTTTGGTCAACGTGCAGGATGAGCGGTTTTTGAAAAAAATGTGAAAAACTTTGTTTTCATGAAATCTCGCAAAATATCTCCAAACCTATCAAAGATGGCAAAATTCCGATCACGCCACTGGATAACACCGTGCTTACAAAAGTTGGTATTCACTTTTCGCCTGAATCGTCGATTAAGCGAGTTACTGGGTGTTTTTAGATTTCCGGCCAATTTTGGGAAAAATTTCCAAAATTTGGCGAATTTTTACAAAATCAGGTTAAGGTCAAACTTCACTGGACAGGCATTAGTAGGTTGAAATCAACGAAAATTGCCCAAAGCAAGTGGACAGATTCCAAAAATAGGCCAACCTCAGGCTTCATCTTCTTCACCTGAAGAATTTGGCTGAAAATTTACATTTTAATTTTTTTCTCAAACGAAAAGCTCCCTAACGAAAAATGTTGATTCTGATAAAATGTCGGGCGGGTCAGAAGCTACTCATAGTCATTTTTGATCAACGTGCAGGATAAGTGGTTTTTGAAAAAAATGTGAAAATCTCTGTTTTCATAAAATCTCCCAAATTATCTCCAAACGTAACAACGATGGCAAAATTCCGATCAAGCCGCTGGATAGCGGAGAACAACGTGCTTAAAAAAGTTGGTACTCACTTTTCGCCTGAATCGTCGATTAGGCGAGTTACTGGGTTTTTTTTGGATTCCCGGGCCAATTTAGGAAAAATTTACAAAATTTGGGAAAATTTTTCCAAATCAAATTAAGGTCAAACATCACTGGACAGGCGTGAGTACGTCGGCAGCAACGAAAATTGCCCAAAGAAGTGGACAGATTTCGAAAATAAGCCATCCTCACGATAAATCTTCTTCACATGAAGAATTTTACTGAAAGTTCACATTTTTACTTTTTTCTCAAATATGAAGCTTTCCAGCGAAAAATGTTGCTTCTGATAAAATATCGGGCAGGTCAAGAGCTATTCAGTGCCGTTTTTGTTAATCTTTTAGATGAGTTGTTTTTGACAAAAACTGAAAAATTTTGCTTTTAGAAATTTTCCATTATCTTCAAAACTAAAAACGTTGCGAACATTCCTGGTACGCCACTGGATAGAGGTGGCCAGAAGTGCAGAAAAAACGTGATATTCATTTTTTCGCTAGAGGCTCTCATCAGCGAGCTACTGGAAATTTTTGGATTTCCGGCCGATTTTGAGCAAACATTTTCGAAATTTTGAAAATTTTTGTTTGGTCGAACCACGGTCAACCTGTCATTTGGCAGGCGCTGAACGCTCCACGACAATCAAAATCGCATAGCCCCAAAATTAGCTTTTTAGCAAAATCAGACAAAGCGTTAACATAACAACCGTTTTTAAAAAGCTTCAAAGCAAAAATTGCAGAATTTTTTTGAAAATCTCCACTTACACGCGATTGGATCACCGTGAAAATGTATGTGAGTGTTTCGAATTCATACCATCATCCGATTTTTCGACAAAACCGTTTAAAGCAGTTAAAATTCCTGGACTGCTGGCTTCAAAGGTTTTCCTAATTAATTCTAGGAACATCCTCAAAACCCAACATTTGCGGGTCGCGGCAATGAAAATAGGAAATATTTCCTGCTCAATTGTGAAAGATTCGGATCGCCGACATCATCAGGTTTTAGAAAAATTATTACATACCACAGGAGTGTTATCGGGCACTGTTGCCAGACAATTTTCTGCAATTAATTGCCGCAAAACCAACCCAGATAAAAACCTGCGGGTTTCGGTTTTAGCAGGCGCAATGCCAGATTAATGAATGTGGAAAGTTTCGACTGGGAATCATAATCAGATTTTCGCTGCCCGTTGCCCGAACTCGACGACCCTTTTCCAGTGGCCTGCAAGGCAAGGTTGCGAGTAGAATTACGGGAAAACTGGAATAATTGTAACCTTGCCATTTGCGGCATCGAAAAGAGCATTCTTTGCTCCCTGGAGGCAAACAGTTTCGAACCGCCGCCATCATCAGGCATTTTTAGTGGCAGTTGTCCAACCCCACTGGGTTTCAAGGCCAGATTTTCCAGTGGCCTTTTGACAATTAATTGCACGAAAACCGCAAACACTATAAACTTGCGGAGGACGGATTTGGAAAGAACGTTTCGTGCTTCTCAAGATGGAGGAACTGCCAAATTCACCACAAAATTGGAAACTTTCGAAAGAAATTGCTAAAGCCCCGCGACTGTTTGAAGAGTCTTCATGCGAAGCTTCCCGAATTAATTGCTTAAAAAACCACGGAAGCAGTCCACAACTGCCGTTTGCTCTTTCAAAAGAAAAATCAGGGCGTCCTGTATAGAAGGGAAAATTTCGGCGCCCCACCATCATCAAACTTTCGGCTTTTGATAGGACTAGACAGGCGATATTTCTGATGATTGACTGTTGGACCGAAACTAATTTACTAGCGGCCGGTTGCCACATTCGCCGCAAAGTTTCGAATCGGCGCCATCATCAGGTTTTGTGCAATTAAATGTCAACAGGCGCCACTCCAGTTGGGTGGGGCTCCTTAAAGGACAATTAATTGCTGAAAAACCCAACAAACTGGGAATTTGTGTATATGCAATATTGAAAATAGAATTTCTGTTCAGATTGCAACGAATGCCAATGAATGAGCAATTGAGGCACTTTAAACTATTTTCTCTGTCGGCATAACTGAGTAGTATTATGGGGTTGTCGATACTTTTGCATTTACTGAAGTAAATATTGGATATTGTTATCTACGTCCGGAAAAACCGCCAGGAAATCGCAGAGAATTTCTGACGAAACAAAGGCTTGCAACATTTTCTTAGTACTGAAACCCACACGATACTTTGGAAAAGTATAACTCTCGTGATATTTATAGCCGCGTATCGTATGAGCCTCCAATTAGCAGAAGTGTTACTTCAACTTGAGCGCTATTCTCGAATGACAACGAAAACTGCCACGGTTTCTCTATAAAACTGTTCCACTTTTTATAAGCCGAGTAGCAAAATACGGACAAAAAGGAAAAAAAAAATTTTTGAACATCTTTGACGTCGGTTTAGGTAATTAAAAGCTCAATTAAAGCCTGAAAGCTTCAGCCCGATGTTTGGCCAAGACTTGAATACTTAATGTTTTTTAAATGCCGCTATTGTCTAGGTCGGTTTTATGATTTTTTCTTGCATAAAGTTTCAGGAACTTTTAAGTTACTATTCCAGAATCCAGAAAATGAATATCAAAACATTCGCAGAAACGTTTGAATGGGATTTTGAAAGTCAAAGATTTATTGTTGAATTTATTGATAAATTGTTGAAATTGTTTCAATGAAGACGATAATTCTGTGCTTTCGACTATCACTTACACTTACATATAAAAGTACAGGTATTTATATCATTGTTTTAGAAAATTGACTCAACTGAAAGTCAACATTTTGAGACATTGAAATATGATGACTTTCTGGTTCCGTTAGTAGAATGGTCTTTTTCATTGCAGTTTCTTCAATTTGCTTTATTTCTTCATCTGTTCTATTTGCAGGCTTTTAAATCAACTGATATTTATTTTCGTAAGGCTCCTCTCAGCTTTTAGTAAGACGCTATTTATAGGTGGCCCATAAATAATCCTAGGCAAAACTTTGAATGAAGAAATCACGGCAATTGTTTAAATTATCTTGTATATTTGAATATTCTTCTTAACACACATTGCAATTCACTTTGTATTTTATTTCTCAGCAACGAAGCCTTAAAGTTGTATTTGTTCCAATTACAGACTAACTGCATCTATCTCAATTCCAATATGGCCATCTAAGATACACCCTCCAAATCTTTGGAATAATGGCCTAGAATGCCCATGAAGCAAATGAGCAATTCAATGCGACTATTGATAATCAACAGTCGATATAACTAATCGAAGACTCACCATATGGACCTCTAGAAGCCTACTGAAGAATGGCCACACCAAGCGACAGTCCAATTGAAGAGGTTGTGTTTGAAATAGAACCGTCCAGAATACCCAAACCGATTCCGGTGTCTTTAGAGGATCTATGCAGGCTGACCAAGTTTACCAGGAAAGAAATCCGGATTATGTACAGGGGATTTAAAACGGTGAGTATTTCCATCCTGCGGATGTAAGTTGCTCAACGCATTTTCCCTCGCCTTGAAATTGGATAAGTTTTGATCGCTGCCAGCGATTTTATTTGGGTTTGAAGCGTTTTCGAGTCCCGTTCTATTTCTATTAGTGTGAGGGTCGGCGAAAATTATGCACTTCAGAAAACGTTTCTACAAGGTCGAGAATGAAGCAATCCCACATCCTGAAAAGTCTGGCATGCTACCAGTTCAAAAGAAACACACGTTTTTTCTCGATTTCAACTTACTCAAATACATACAGATAGACCTCATTACGCGAAATTAACTCTGTTCTTAGAAAACACTTGGCTCTAAAAATGCCTAAAGTGTCACAAATATCAGCAAGATTTCTGAGCTTCGCCAGCTTAGTAAATATGGGTGTCTAATTGGGTGTCCACCAAAAAAGACGGTTCCAAAAGTCAAACCTTTCAGACTAAAGCATGTAGAGACTTGAAATTTTCACTATATTTAAACAACACTTGACCCTAATATTTTTGAGTTTTGTCAGCTTAGCAAAATTGGGTCTCAAATCGGGTGGTTTTCCTCAATTGCGCCCTCGCCTTCCAAAGTTCAAACCTTTCAAACGGAAGTAAGAAGCATGCTGAAATTTACGCCATCTTTCGTAGACACTCGACACTAAAAATTCCGAAACTTTCACAAAAATCAACAGAATTCTTGAGTTTTTCCAGCTTACTTATTAAATGTGGATCTCAAATTGGGTGCATTTCCTAAATTGCGCTCTCGCATTTAAAAATACAAAATTTTCAAACTGAAGAAAGTAGCAACCTGAAATTTACGCTATCTTTAGAAGATACTCGACTTTAAAGGCGTCGAAAGTTTCACAAAAATCAGCAAGATTTTGGAGTTTTGTCAGCTTAGCAAATGTGAGTCTCGAATTGGGTGCTTGTTCACAATTGCGCTCTTGCCTTTAAAAATTCGAAACTATCAATATAAAGCAAGTAAGAACTGGAATTTACACCATTCTTAGCAAACACTTGTCACTAAAGATGTAGAGAGTTTCACGAAAATATGCTGTATTTGTGAGCTTTCCCAGCTTAGAAAATATGGTTCTCAAATTGGATGTTTCTGCTCAATTGTGCTCTCGCTTTTAAAAGGTCAAAATTATGAAGCTTAGCAAACATGAAATAAAAAATACAGAAGAAGTGAATTGTAAGAGACGAAAGCGCCTTATTTCAGGTGCTAAGAAACCCGCTAATAGCAGAAAAATTCTTAATAGCTGGACTTGAAGGCAAAAACCCGCCAACTGGTGCTGCAAACCAGTAATAAGTCATTAAGGTTAAGAAAAAGTGGAAACCCGCTGCAAATATAAAGAAATTTTTAGACAACATTTTAATTTTCAAATTGATAGTGCTCAATAGTCAAGTTTGTTCATCAAAAAAGCATTATTTAATCGAAAACAATACACCACATTGCAGACATTAAACGAATAATGCAATTTTAAATACACAAACGCGCGAAAAGAGAAATGTGAAGTTTAATCAAATAATTAAAGATTTTGATAAAAGTTATTTTCCCAAAATGCCAAATTAATTAAAAAGACATTTTTCAGTAATCCACATTGGAAGTAAAATATTCAAATTAATGAACAGTAGCTGGAAAATTCAGAGGGAAAGAATAATTCAATCCAAGAAAAACAATAAAATAAACATGAAATCAGGACGGACAAAATACAGTCTAAGCAGAGAAGAGGCAGCAGATAGTAGACGACATTTGTAAGAAAGGATTTTATGAATGCGAATCAGAAAATCTAAGAAACAATGTCAGGATGGAAAAATTGAAACTACCGAACGAAGCCCTAAAATATTCCTCCTGAGGGTATATCAAAACCGAAACGTTTTCCACTTCCTGTGTCGAATTGACTCTACAGATGCGAGACAAAAGTCTGACTAAGCCAAACTAACTTTTCAAGTCTTTCAGTAAATAAATATCAAAGTACGACCTGCTTAAAAGTCCGCAAAAATCGCAGGCAACTTTGGAAAAATTCCTGAAAATTGCCTTATTATGACAGTAAAATAAAACATTTTTAACTTCTACAATTAAATTTTCCGCGCAAAATGCATGCAAATGCGACTCTCTCACTTTGTTAGTTACATAAACACATTTCAAACTCCGTCTTGCAAAACAGCCTTCGAAATCAGACACATTTTAAAAAATTGGGAAAAATTACGTCCGTAATTGTCCGCTTATAGAAGGGACTTTGTTCTACAAAATTGTCCCAAAACTGACTTACTTACATTGAACGTTATAGAGAAAATAAATGCTCGTTTCTCGTTGAAAAGCTCATTTTTGCAATTTATTCAAAAACCCGTCGCGCAAGTTTCGCAGAAGAAGCATTTAATACAATTTTATCAAGAATACTGTTTTTCAGTTGCAAAGTTGAAAAGAACACATCAAGAACCTAAGAAATCGTGGAAATCGCACAAGAAATTCCCTCAAAATATTTTCCTTTCATTTAGCATAAAACTACAGAAACTTTCTTATTTTGAATCCTTGGCGATGTTTTCTTCTATCTTTGGAAATTGCATTTGAAAAAAACCTAAGAGTAACAAGGAAAAGAATGTGGATTAACAGAACCCCAATATACAGATTTTTTATTAAAAAACACATTTATATAAATATTTCAGAAACACTGCTAATAATAATAATCAATCAACCACACTAAAACTATCAATGAAAGGACAGTTAGGTTTAACATCTGCAAGACTTTCTAACAAAAGGGTAAAGAATCACATGAAAAAGAGTATAAAATACCGAAAATTTCATAAAAATCAGCAAGATTATTAGATTTTCCCAACTTCTCAAATGTGCGCTCTCGGCTTTAGAAGTCCAAAACTTTGAAACTGAAGCAAGTAGAAACCCGGAATTTACACATCGGTAGACGGCGCTTGAGTATAAAGATGCCAAAAATTTCACAGAAATCAGGAAGATTCTTGGATTTTGCCAGCTTCAAATGTGGGCCGGAAATTGGGTAATTTTGCTCTATTGCGCTCTCAGCTTTAGAAGTCCAAAACTTTCAAACTGAAGCAAGCATCATGAAGAAATTTACACGATTTTTCAGACACTCGACACTAAAGATTCCGAAAGTTTTATAAAAATCAACAGAAATCTTGAATTTTTCTTGCTTGTTAAATATGGATCTCAAATTGGTCGATTTTCCTAAATTGCACTCTAGCATTTAAAAATACAAAATTTTCAAACTAAGGAAAGTAGCACCCTGAAATTAACGCTATCTTTAGAAGACACTCGACTCTAACGGCGTGGAGAGTTTCACAAAAATCAGCAAGATTTTGGAGTTTTGCCAGCTTAGCACATGTGGGTCTCAAATTGGGTGCTTGTTCACAATTGCGCGCTTGCCTTTAAAAATTGCAAACTATCAATTTAAAACAAGTGAGAACCTGAAGTTTACAAAATCCTTAACAGACACTAGGCACTAAAGCTGCAGAAAGTTTTCCAAAAGTGCGCTTTATTTGTGAACTTTTCCAGTTTAGCAAATGTGGGTGTCACATTGAATGGTTTTGTTCAATTGTACTCTTGGCTTTCGAAGTCTCACACTTTTGAAACTGAAGCAAGTAGCATGCTGAAATTTAGACTATCTGACGCAGACGACCGAAGCCAACGATTCCGAAAGTTTCACAAAAATTAACAGAATTCTTCAGTTTTTCCAGCTTATCAAATGTGGATATCAAATTGGGTGTGCTTAGCCTAAATTGCTCTCTCGCATTTAAAAATACAAAACTTTCAAACTAAGAAAAGTCGCAACCTGAAATTTACGCCATCTTTAGAAAACACTCGACTGTAAAGGCGTCGATATTTTAACAAAAATGAGCAAGATTTTGGAGTTTTGCCAGCATAGCAAATGTGGGTCCCAAATTAGGTGCTTGCTCACAATTGCGCTTTTACCTTTAAAAATTCAAAACTATCACACTCGAGCAAGTAAGAACATGAAATTTACATCATCCTTAGCAGGCACTTCGCGCTAAAGATGTAGAGAGTTTCACGAAGATGTGCCTTATTTGTGAGCCTTTCCAGCTTACTAAATATGAGTGTCAACTTGGGTGGTTTTCCTCAATTGCGCTCTCGCATTTAGAAGTTCAAAACTTTCAAACTAAGGCAAGTATAAATCCGGAATTGACACTATCCGTAGAAGACACTTGATTATAACCGAATTATTATTGATTATATACCGAAAATTTTCTAATTTTTTTTTCACAAAAATCAGCAGGATTGTTGGGTTTTACCAGCTTATCAAATATAAGTCTCAAATTGACAGGTTTTCCTCAATTGCGCTCTCGCCTTTAGATGTTCGAAACTTTCAAACTAAAGCAAGTAGAAACCTGAAATTTACACTATCGATAGACGGCACTTGAGTATAAAGATGCTGAAAATTTCACAAAAATCAGCAAGATTCTTGGGTTTTTCCATCTTTCCAAATGTGGGTCTCAAATTGGGTGCTATTGTTCGATTGCGCTCTCGGATTTAGCAGTTCAAAACTTTGATTGCACTCACATTTAATAATACAAAATTTTCAAACTGAAGAAAGTAGCAACCTGAAATTTACGCTATACTTAAAAGACATACGACTCTAAAGGCGTCGAAAGTTTCGCAAAAATCAGCAAGAATTTAGAGTTTTGCCAGCTTAGCAAATGTGAGTCTCAAATTGGGTGCTTGTTCACTATTGCGCTCTTGCCTGTAAAAATTCCAAACTATCAATTTAAAGCAAGTGAGAACCTGAGACTTACAAAATCCTTAGCAAACACTTGGCACTAAAGATGCAGAAAGTTTTACAAAAATACGCCTTATTTGTGAGCTTTCACAGCTTAGCAAATATGGGTCTCACATTGAATGGTTTGGCTCAATTCTACTCGGCTCTGGAAGCCCAAAACTTTGAAACTGAAGCAAGTACCATGCTGAAGTTTACACGATCTTTCGCAGACACTCGACACTAAACATTTCGAAAGTTTTACAAAAATTAACATAATTCCTGAGTTTTTTCAGCTTATTAAATGTGGATCTCAAAATAGGTGGTTTTCTTAAATTGCACTCTTACATGCAAAAATGCAAAATTTTCAAACTAAAGAAACTAGCAACCTGAAATTTACACTATCTTTAGACGATACTCGACTATAAAGGGGTCGAAAGTTTCACAAAAATCAGCCAGATTTTGGAAGTGTCCCAGCTTAGTAAATGTGGGTTTCAAATTGGTGGCTGGTTGACAATTGCGCTCTTTTGCTTTTATTTAAAAATTCAAAACTATCAATATAAAGCAAGTAAAAATTTGCATCATCCTTAGCAAACACTTCGCGCTAAAGATGTAGAAAATTTCACAAAAATGTGCCCTATTTGTGAGCTTTTCCAGCTTACCAAAGCTTATTGGGTGGTTGTCCTCAATACTGCTCTCGGTTTTTTATGTTCAAAATTATGCAACTAAAGCATCTCACAACTTCTAATTTTTACCATAATTAGGAGACACCTGTCCCTAAAGGGGGCCGAAAGATTTACAGAAATCAGCATGGTTGTTGAGTTTAACCACCTTAGCAAATGCCTCAAATTGGGTGCTTTTCTCCAATTGCGCTCTCATCTTCCAAAGCCCAATCATTCAAACTAATGCCAATATAAATCTCAAGCGGAAATTTTTATCATCCTTAGAAGACACCTGATTCTAAACATGACGAAAGTTTCACAAAAATCTGCCGTAGTCTTGCACTTTGGCAGCTTAGCAAATGTGGGTCTCCAATTGGGTGCTTGTCCTGATTAGAGGTAAAATTTGTGAATTTTTAGGAGTCTTGCTTGGTCTCAAAGCCGATCTTGCAGATGTTTTGCATTGCTTCATTTTCCATCCGGTATAAACTTTACCTGATTAGTTCAATTTTGCAACAGCACCAACTATTAGAAAAATATTTGGAATAGAGAACGCTTAAAGCAGAAATAAATTCGCTCGCAACAATCATAAGTTATCCAATTCCAAAATTTGGGCCAAATGTGGCCAATTTTGTTGTAAACCATCATCTAACAATTTTTAGGAGTGCCCTGAAGGGGTTGTTCATGAAAATAGTATTAAGGATATTTATTCCAAGTTCTTCCCACATGGAAGTAAGTATCGCCAAATTCCCTAAGTATATCCATAAAGACTTAATCTGGTTAATGACGATTTCAGATGCAACTTTATACGCCCATTACGTGTTCAAAACTTTCGATGTAAACTGTAATGGAGCCATTAGCTTTAAGGTAAGCATCGATAAAGCTCACTCCAGAAGATGTGAACGGTTTCCTTTTGCAGGATTACCTTATAACATTGTCCACACTACTTCGGGGGAGCGTCTATGAAAGACTGAGGTGGACCTTCAAGCTCTATGATATTAATGGAGACGGATCCATTAGTCGCGATGAGATTCTGGAAATAGTGACCGCCATTCATGAGCTAGTTGGACGGAAAACGCATCAGGTATTCACTTGTTGTATTCCGGTATTTTACAGAATTTTTGTATTAACTTCGAAGATTTGAGAGCCTCTAATCCTTGTCAAAACTTTTCCAGGTGGAAGAAGATCGGAAAGCTCGAGAGCAAACAGACAGGGTGTTTCGCAAATTAGACCTCAATCAAGATGGAGTGATCACGATCGAAGAGTTTATGGAGTCGTGCCTCAAAGACGATATCATGACAAAATCCCTACAAATGTTTGATCTGTGATATGTGATACAAAAGATGCGCATCCAACATCCCTTTCACCGAGCGTTCATAATAATAAAAAAACTGTTTTTTTGTCAAGAAATATATAATATATTTTTCACAATTTCCGTACAAGTTTTAAAACTGGAGTCATTAGGTGTTAAGTTAACTGTTAGCATGTCAATTAAGAATAAACACCATTGTATTACAGTGTATATAAACAGCGAAATAAACTTTTAAGAATTCAAGTTTTAAATTAACGTAGTGAATATTTCAAGAAACAACATCTTCATTACCAAGTTTGACTGAATATTGCCACTGCGCTAGAAGAGAATTGAGGAAAAATCTGGGTTTTTCCTGCAAAGCGGGTTTATAAAGAAAAAATCGCGCTTTCCCAATCCCAGGCCCACACGGGCGTTGCCAAATGTCCCGCAATTGACCCATTCATATCCTCTTGCTCCACAAACTCAGCAGAATCCACCGACATTAAGGTTAGAGCTTTGGTGGGATTTCGCTAAAAATACCCTTAAATTGGTAAAATGAATCTTGTTTTCAGGAGTTTCAGCCGCAAAATGCACAGCCCAACTCAAAGCAAGTTTCGCGGTTGTTTGCTGGGTTCTTTAATGGGTGATTGTTTGGGGGCCCCATACGAGGGCCAGGAGATTACCAGCGGGGACAAGATCATTATTCAACGCTATTTCGATAAAATGGAAGACCCCAGCTTTAAAGGTGCGAGAAATTGAAAATCGGGCCTCGTACAGTTAGGTGAAACTGCCTTCAAAGGCAATCATCCCTATTCTCTACGTGGATCATCCTCAGCTGGTGTCTGTGTATTTGTCATGTCCTGCACAACCAGTTGCGCTTAAATAAACACAATCACATTTAAGGCCCGTTCAAAAAATACACCGATGACACAGCTATGATGAGATCAGTGGCAAATTTCCTGCTGGATAAGCCGGATGGCGACATGAAACACTTGGCCCGCTTATTTGTGAACGAATTCTTCAAACAGCCCGGTAGAGGATACGGACAGAACGTAGTCGAAGTGTTTGAGAAACTCAAAGACACCAAATACAAAGACGTTTTTAAGCCGGCCACTGAACAGTTCAATGGAAGCGGGTCTTATGGAAATGGAGGAGCGATGCGAATGGCCCCCATTCCACTGTTTTTCAATGATAACTTCGACGCCATGCTAAAGGTCTTGGAATGTTTCCTGCTACTAATCGGGGTTTGCCACGGTGTTTTTCGTTCTTGAAAGGTGGCGGAAGAATCGACCAAAATCACCCACACAAATTTGCTAGGGATAAATGGGGCGTTGTTGCAGTGCCTGGCAATCCATCAGGCGTTCCAGGCTGATTCTTCTAGGCCTGTTGATGTGCAGAGCTTTTGTGCGGAGTTGCTGAAGAAGATTAAAAAAATCGAAGATAACGCCTATGAAGTGTTAGCATTGAACGCAAGTTCCTTGAATTAAGCGCTAATAAGTGTTCCGTTTACAGTGAAGACCAGTCGGAAACTCCTTTCTGCTCCAAGTTGAAGCAGATGCAGAGCCTACTGAAGAAGAAACCCTCCGATGACTTGGACGAAGAAGTCATCTACATTTTGGGGAACGGCATCAGCGCCTACGAATCAGTAGCTACAGCCATTTATTGCTTTTTACGGGCGCAAACGGACATTCCAGGCATCCAGGTAGGAAAGCTGAAACTTCGTTAGAAACGGATGAAAGTTGTGGGGTTTCAGACAAGCGATCAGTTGAGGAGAACTCTCCAATATGCGATTACACTTGGAGGCGATACAGATACAATCGCCTGCATGGCAGGGGCCATTGTAGGCGCTCATTTAGGAGAAGGAGCCATCAATAAGAATCTTCTTCAGCACTGCGAAAAACATCAGCAAATTGAAGAGCTAGCCGACAAATTGTTCGAGGCCACATCGGGTGTATAATCAGGAATTTTAAATAGAGATGGCATCAACTGGAGTTATACACCTATCTTTTTTATTTTTTTTATGCTCATAGGAGATACCTCCAAATGGGTGTTTTTATAATAAAGTTCATGAGAGCGATTATTGATTTTTTCCCTGAACAAAGATATACAAATTTCGCTATTAAAAGCTATAATCGGTACGGCTATAACCACAGCGTATATATCACCAGAGAACTTTATAACAAAAAAAATAACACATTTAAGAGGAACATTCTTGAAACTAGTGCACAAAATGTTCCGGTTGAAATTGCCGAGTTGACGCACTGTGTTTTTAAAAATCGTCAACACTCAATAAAACTTCTTCTCGAATTGAAAATTACCAGACGTTTAGAACAATGCCAACTCTATTTCACCATTTACTAAGCAACTCATCAGTTTTTCCACATTTAAGAGCACTGAATTTTTGAAAAACAATGCGGAAAATGTACTGGTGACCCAGCCGAGTTGATAGCTGCATTCTCAAAAATTAGACTGTAAAATATTTCACAGCGGCTTTTTCAAAAATTCGTTAAAAATGTATCAAAAACTTTCATGCCACTGAATTTCTCACAAATAGTAGAGCAGGAAATTCCCTATTCAATTATGCATAAAGCACCGTTCTGCTTTAGAGGGTTGAGGATAAATTATGTTTATAAGCTAGTCTGCAAAATGAGCAGCTGTAGCATTTTAAAAAATTCGTCAAAATCCGGATTAATTTCAATATGAATAAGGCTTTTCAGATTTCAAGATTAAGACGTTTTCTATAAGTGGGCACATTTGCAGATTAACCTTTGTTTTTGATCAGAAGTTAGCAATTTTTAGACGAGAAAATGCACTTGCATGACTTTCCTCACTATCTGGCTTGCGTTCCAAGATTTCAGAAATTTTATTTGAGATGTAAATTGAACAAAATCTTCACTCATTTTAGAACCAAGTTTTTATATGCAGATTGTGAAAATTTCAAGTTTCTGCACGCTTTAGATTGAAAGCTAAGATTTTTTAAAGCAAATATTGCAGCTGCCCAGAAACGCTAATTTTTAGCTGAAAATTTACGTACTCGCCAAAAATCAGGATTCAGTTCAATGAAATTTTCTGAAATTTGAGACTCAGCTCTCGTCTTTAAGCTGCCATATTTTAATGTTTATTTTTGTTTTCGACCAGAAATTAGGAATTTTTAGGCGCGAATGTTCACTTGCATGCGAACGTTTATTATTTGACTAGCGTTTTCAAAGGAGTTAAAATTTTGATTGTTATGTAATTTCAGCAAAGCCTGCAGTCCTTTTTAAGCGAAAATGTGTATTTTCTATCCATAGATCTCATGGTCCACCAAGAGAGTTTAAAGTTAAACTTCACAAGTTTCTCATCATTTATCAAAACCCATGGTCACATTGAAGCTTTCAACACTCTTAGCAGAAAGATACCTTTAGTCAACCGTGCATCCACTAACGCTTTAGCCTTGCACATTTAAAAAAAAAATTATTTTTGGAAACCAATCTTCAAAATTTGCGGCTTGAAGCAGACGATCTAGCAACTGTATTTTAGAAAATCGTCGAAATTCAGTAAAATGTTTGCTGCCGTTGAAAATTATCAGACGTTTAGAACAATGCCAACTCTATTTAACCATGTACCCAGCTACTCATTAGTCTAGAACATTTAAGAGGACTGAATTTTTGAAAAGTAAGGCGCAAAATGTACTGGCGGCCCAGCCGAGTTGATAGGCGCATTCTCAAAAATTTGTCAAAATTTATCAAAACTTCTTGTTAAATTGAAACTTTCTGAGCTCCTAGAACAATATCAGCTCTGTTTAACCACGCATCAAGCAACTCCGAAGTTCGGCACATTTAAGAAACATGCGTTTTTGAACAGTAGGCTGTAACATATTTAGCAGCGACGTTTTAAAAAATTCGTAAAAATTTATCAAAAATTTTCATGGCGCTGAATTTCTCACAAATGATAGGGCAAGAAATCTTCTATTCAATTACGCATAAAGCAACGTTCTGCTTTAGGGGGTTAAAGAGAAATTATTTTTCATAAACCAGTCTGCGAAATGAGCATCTGGAAATATACAATTTTTCGAGCATTTTAAGAAATTCGTAAAAATTTAGCAACATTTGCTGGCGCTATGAAACCTTCAGACCGTGCAGAATAACGACAGCTCGATTTAACCATGCATCAGACAACGTTATAGACTAACACATTTAAGAGGAATTCGTTTTTAAAACTGGTGCACAAAATGTACGGGTTGAGATTGCCGAGTTGACTCAGCCCCACTTTCAAAAGTTCCTCATCATTTATCAAAACTCATCGTCACAGTGAAACTTTCAGCACTCTTAGCAGAAAGACACCTTTCGTCAACCGTTCATCAACCAGCGACTTAGTGTTGCACATTTCAGAAAACATAATTTTTTAAAACCAGTTTTCAAAATTTGCGGCTTGAAACAGACGATCGGGCAACTGTATTAAAAAAAAATTGTCAAAATTGAGAAAAACTGCTGCTGGCATTGAAAATTACCAGACGTTTAGAACAATGCCAACTCTATTTCACCATGTACCAAGAAACTCATTAGTTTAGCACATTTAAGAGGACTGAATTTTTGAAAAACAATGCGCAAAGTGTACCGGTGACCCAGCCGAGTTGATAGCCGCATTCTCAAAAATTTGGGCAAATTTATCAAAACCTCTTGTTACAATGAAACTTTCTCAGCTCCTAGATCAATATCAGCTCTGTTCAACCACGCATCACGCAACTCCTAAGTTCGGCACATTTAGGAAATATGCGTTTTTGAACAATAGACTGTAATATATTTGACAGCGGCTTTTTTAAAATCCGTCAAAATGTATCGGACACTTTCATAGCGCTGAGTTATTGACAAATCGTAGAGCAGGAAATCCTCTATTCAATGATGCATAAAGCAACGTTCTGCTTTAGAGGGTTGAGGAGAAATTATTTTTCATATACTAGCCTGCAAAATGAGCAGCTTGAAATCTACAATTTTTGTAGTATTTTAAAGAAATCGTCAAAATTTTTTTTCAGAACGGGTAGAACGGGTTTGTTTAACCATGCATCAGAAAACGTCATAGTCTAAGAAATTTAAGAGGAATTAATTTTTGAAACCTGAGCACAAAATGTACCGGTTGAGACTGCCGAGTTGCCACAGCCCCAATTTCAAAAGTTCCTTATCATTTATCAAAAACCCATCGTTACATTGAAACTTCCAGCACTCTTAGCAGAAAGACACCTTTAGTCAACCGTGCATCAACCAGCGACTTAGTCTTGCATATTTAAAAAAATAAATTATATTGTTTTATTATGATATATAAGCTGTGCTATAACCTTGTTCTAAGACTTCGGAACTTCTAAAGAAATAAGAGCAAAAATTTCCGTGTGAAAAAAGTTGATAAGTTTCTATATCTCGGTTCCAGATAGCCAATAAGTCGCAAAATAACAATAAACAAATACAGACAAATTTTAGAGTAAAGCAATTTCAAAATCTATCGTTAAACCATGCAAATACCCATATTGGTATTTCTATAACATTTTTAAATTCATTGAAAAAATGTTGGTGTTTTAACGTTAGTTCTCTTTCAAAAAAATCTGCAATTAACTCCTTGATTATTCCTTCTGCAATCAATTCCTAGATATTCTTAGTATGCATAAGCTTGCCAAATTTAAAGCTACACATGTTTATCTTCGAACGAGTAAAAAACCGTGAATTTTCTTTCATTTTTACCAAGATAGTCAGTTTTGTATTTTACATCTGTTTGTGCGTGTTTGTGTCCATAAGTGTTGTTACAATTTGTTTTCATATTTCTTCGTGTTTAGTGTTTTGTTCTA